TAATGCGATACGATTCACGATACTGATTTCACAATACAATTTTCTCACAATTTTTATTTTTAACAAAATAAGATTTAAGACAAATTATAAATGAAAAGGTGTTCTTTTATTATTTCTCCAACAAAATGCTGCACATTTCTTTGTGAAATTTAAATATATCAAATAATAAAACTAACTTTAAGTTTTTAAACAAATCCCAAATCAAATAATTAAATGCAAATAAAACCTGCTGTCCCTTTAAAACCGAATGCACGGATCCAATATAATGATGCACTTGAGATTTCTTTTACCACTGTTTACGTTCACTTAAGACATAACCAACTGTGTTTATGAGAATACTTGCCGAGACAGTTATTTTGAGATTATTTTGTCTGAATGTGTTCATTCAGATGCAAGGATATGCGAAAGAGGAATCAATTCTGTGCATGCGCATTTTCTAAAACGCGGCTCTCTGTGCGCGCTTTGAATGAGTGCGCGCAGCTCCGAATGGTCGTGAATGGTTTAAAACACTTGAATGTTTAAATCGGCAAGACTTAGAAACACGTGCAAACGATCAACTATGATCCGTTTTACCCCTGCAAGCTAGTGAACAACGCAAATCAAGGAAGGGATTTTATATCACTGTTCAAGATAGCCCGTCGGGCAGGACGGTGATACATTTTGGTAGCCTGAATGGAAAACACAATAGCCCCGGGACGTTGGGCTAGCGATTTTGTGAGCCCTGTAATAGCTTGAGAGTTTACTGTATCGAGACCGAGTGGACTTAAAGAGAACCCCAAAAAGCTGTATTCAGAACCATCCAGTACATTGGCTCGTACATTGGTTCAGTATGAGCAAGAGGGGCTGAGATGTTTACAGGGCTGAAAACATGCTTGCGGTCTTTCATTATGAGACCCTCAGAAGTTTGTCTTTCTCTTGTTTGACAGTTATGCAGCAGTTTGTGACTTTCTGACAAACAACAACCTGTTGTCATTAATCAGAGCACATGAAGCACAAGACGCAGGGTAAGTATCGATTATGATGTTTCATGATAGTGAGATTGAAAAAGCTAAATTGCGTTTTTGCTAGTTTAATCTTGTGATGTCAATGTAGTCCTTCTGTGTCTGCCAGTTAAAAAAAATATATACCATCTGCAACTGTGGATCATTGGATCATTGCTCACTGAATTTGACAAGAGTACATTATCTAACAATGACAGAGAGCGCTTTGTTTACTGATCTATGCCAGATGCCTTGTTGGCACGCTGAGCTAATCTACAGATTTTGGGTGTTTCTCTGTTTCAGGTACAGGATGTACAGAAAAAGTCAGACAACAGGCTTCCCTTCATTAATTACCATTTTCTCAGCACCAAATTACCTGGATGTCTATAACAACAAAGGTATGTTAGTTTATGTTAAAGTATGTTGGTCTTACATTTCGTGTTTTTCATAACCTCAAACTGTTCTCAGACCCTGAAAAAAAACCTAACGTCATTATTACTTTGGAAACTTAACTCGCAGCCCCTTTGATAAAGCATTACGAGTGACGTAACTGAATTCACAATCAACTTAGCAGTCCCACATTCTCAGCTAATAAGAATGAGGTGTTTCTTTCCTTATTTAAATAATTTACAATAGACTTCTGATTTCATATATTTATTGTTGGAGCCTCTAATTTGGACTGCTGAAGGATAATGTAACAATCGCCAGCTGTGCAAAGAAAAAATATTCCCTGCAGATCTGCTGTATTTATTACCATATACTGACTCTAAAGTGTCTAGAAATCTAGAATGGCAAAGTATTGGATGACTGTTTGTGAGCCTGTGTGGCAGCCTATCAGGTTGCTTTTCTTTTTTATTTTTTGTTGTTTTCATGAATGTGCATGACATCTCCCCTTGTTTTTCCTCCTCAGCGGCTGTATTGAAATATGAAAACAATGTCATGAACATTAGACAGTTCAACTGCTCTCCTCACCCGTATTGGTTGCCCAACTTCATGGATGTGTTTACGTGGTCACTACCCTTTGTGGGCGAGAAAGGTAAGTGTCCAAACTCGAGGGTTGTGATTTGTAGGGACTGTGAAACTGAGATGGTTGGTAGTATTTGACAGGCCATGTGGAGGTGAAGGAAGAATGACCTTGCTGATGACGTGTCTTTGGTGGCTGACTGTGTCCTCTCAATGGGAAGAATACAGAAAAACTCAAACCTGAAACGTCTCTTAATGTCATTCTATTTGTGCCAGCGTATTCAAGGGCACCTTTTACAAAATCATCTGAGACTTGCTGAGTCTTTCCAAATTTACATGGCTGTAAGCCATATATATTTTGATTAAACTAGGAATTCTAGGAATATTGTAGCACAGAATAAAGACCTACATAGATATCATGTAAAATGGCAGCTTATATTGCAGCTCTAACGTGGAAGTTTCGCTTTTTACAGTGACTGAGATGTTGGTGAATGTCCTAAACATCTGCTCTGATGATGAACTCATGTCAGAGGGAGACGACTTGTGTGAAGGTAAGGGTGTTGTTGTACGCTCATGTATTATACAATTGAGATTAAATAAAGTTTGGTAAGCTGACAACTGGCTTATATGCTGATTTCCTCTTGCTTCATATTCAGTGACATAATTTAATGCAGAACAGCTTGAATGTGCTTGCTGAGAGAGAGAGAGAGAGAGAGAGAGAGAGAGAGTGTGTGTGTGTGTGTGTGTGTGTGTGTGTGTGTAAGCGTGTAAGCGCATGTCTGTCTGGTCATCATCAGCATAGACAGCAGGTCCTCAGAAGTGTCCAGCTGTCATTCTAGCTGTCTTAAGATGCTTTCCCTGGAGGTCTGATGTCTGATTATGTCATTCTATGATACTTCCTGCTTAGACAGTCTGTTGTGGAGAGTAGAATTCACATGATGGTGCACTCGTATAAAAACAGTAGTATTGTGAAATATTATTGCAATTTAAAATAATTTTAAATTTTAAATATTTTTAAATGCAATGGATAGACTGTGTAGGATTGTGGTTTCGCCTTGTGTAATTATTGAACTGGAAACAGATCTGCTTAAATAATTAGAGCAAAGGCGTGACACTCTTCTGCAAATACTCTCAAGCCCACGCAAGGCTTACAAAATGCTCTCTGAAGCTCTTCAGGATCACTTTATTGTCTCATTTGAGTAATTCCAAACAGTTTAGACCCATGCAAGTTATTATACAAATCTAATAATGCAACTTTTGGATTTTAAAAATGGTGGAGATGACAGCATTTTCCCTATATTTAGAATGAGAAATATATTAAATTGTCAACTACACAGTGAAGCACTAATGTTTTCATTCAGTTTTTTTATTAATAAAAGCTAAAATAATAAATATTAAGCAATTGAATAGTAATTAATAATAATTGTAATTAATGTATAATAATAATAATAATTATTATTATTATTATTATTATTAAATGTATGCATTTAGCAGATACTTTTACCCAAAGCAGCTTACTTATTATTAATTATTATTGTTATTATTATTATTATTAGTAGTAGTAGTAATATATGTCTGTCTCAAATTTGGGTTTTAAAAATGGTGGAGATGACAGCATTTTCCCTATATTTAGAATGAGAAATATATTAAATTGTCAACTACACAGTGAAGCACTAATGTTTTCATTCAGTTTTTTTATTAATAAAAGCTAAAATAATAAATATTAAGCAATTGAATAGTAATTAATAATAATTGTAATAATGTAAAAAAGTTTTATTATTATATAAAAAAATGATAGAATTTCTTAATAAATATTAAGCAATTAAAAATGTTATAAAAATTGTGATAATGTATAATAATAATAATAATTATTATTATTATTATTATTATTAAATGTATGCATTTAGCAGATACTTTTACCCAAAGCAGCTTACTTATTATTAATTATTATTATTGTTATTATTATTATTATTATTATTAGTAGTAATATATGTCTGTCTCAAAGTCTTTTTTTGCATAGCATTTTCCAATGTTCTAAATAAAACCAAGCAAACGGAAGACATTGCAACAGAAATATATTACTTGTATCGTAAAATTCTAATAATATTTTTTTTTTTAAATTTCAGTATATGTTATTGTTTTTTATTATTTATTAATTATATTATTATTATTATTATTATAGCTTTATTAAGTCGATAAAGAGTAACTGTTTCAAATGCAGTTCAAAATTCAGTTGTCATAATTTTCAAAATAAACAGTTATTGTTCAGGATGTCTGATTCTCAGCATTTCCACATTTTTGGTTCCCCCTTCTTAGCTGGTTTGGGGGTCAGAGGTCCTATGGGGTGACAGTGTTTGATGCTGATTTTTTGTTGTGTTTTGGAGCAGGTGGAGCTGCAGCTGTCCGTAAGGAGGTGATCAGAAATAAGATCCGTGCCATTGGGAAAATGGCCAGAGTCTTTTCTGTTCTCAGGTCAGCCTGCATGCAATTATATATATATATATATGTGTGTGTGTGTGTGTATATTCACTGTGCTGCTTGGGAGATAATTACAGTTGTCAAAAAGAAAAAAAAAGTGTTTGTATAAAGAGCAGGAAAAATGTCCCAGTGAAGTTTTGTTTTAATGCCACACGCACACACACACACTTTTCCTCCATTAGGATTAATGAGCTGGCGTCAGTGAGTCATCATGCAGAATAGCGGTCTAATTATATTAGACATTATTCCAGATGAACAATGCCATTGATAATGGAGGAACAGAGGACATTTTGAAGTCTTTTGTCTTTGGATTTTTGAGCAATATTCAGATTAGGCTGGCGCTGCAGCAAAGTTTCAAATTACCATATATTTCCTTTCCTTTTTCCCCCAACCCCACCCTAATTGATTATGTGCCGTTTAGTTCTTTGAAAGCAACCCTAATACTGTGTGTGTGTGTGTGTGTGTGTGTGTGTGTGTGTGTGTGTGTGTGTGTGTTATGCCTCAGGGAAGAGAGTGAGAGTGTACTGACCCTCAAAGGGCTCACCCCAACCGGAACGCTACCTCTAGGAGTGTTGTCTGGAGGCAAGCAGACCTTGCAGAATGGTAAGTGAGCATGTTTGTGGTTTTGTAATGGTAGGTTAGTAAAGTGGGTTTGCAGGCCTCTCGCATCCAACCTGGAAGTCGTAGTGGATCATCATCGCCACGTGTGACCCAGCACTGCTCTCATCACCCTCTTACAAAAGCAGAAAGTACCAGCATGCAGCAGCTAGAATAAGCTTTGGCATGCGAGACACTAATGATGATGATGTGTCTCTACCCGTCATGCTGAACTGCATCAGAGCTCATAGTGGCAGATACTGATGAGGGCTGTGCTCTCCATCTCCATCGCGTGAGCTTTTCTGGGCTGTGTCCGACTACTTAATTCACTTCTTAGCAACTTTCCAGTGCTAGCTATAAAATTATTGCCCACACCCCCAGCCGCTCAGATCCTTATTGCTGGTCTTTTAAATGGGTAAATCTCATGACACCGTCAGGGTCAAAAATCATGCTAAAATCAGTGTATTATGTAATGAAAATGAAACCATGATGAATAGAAAGAACAACATTTAAAATAGATGTTCTTTTTTGCATCAGTGTTAAAGTCTTGAAAGAATTTAATGCATTCTTGGTGAATAAAACTATTCATTAAAATCTTACTTGTGGTTTTGTAATGGTAGGTTAGTAAAGTGGGTTTGCAGGCCTCTCGCATCCAACCTGGAAGTCGTAGTGGATCATCATCGCCACGTGTGACCCAGCACTGCTCTCATCACCCTCTTACAAAAGCAGAAAGTACCAGCATGCAGCAGCTAGAATAAGCTTTGGCATGCGAGACACTAATGATGATGATGTGTCTCTACCCGTCATGCTGAACTGCATCAGAGCTCATAGTGGCAGATACTGATGAGGGCTGTGCTCTCCATCTCCATCGCGTGAGCTTTTCTGGGCTGTGTCCGACTACTTAATTCACTTCTTAGCAACTTTCCAGTGCTAGCTATAAAATTATTGCCCACACCCCCAGCCGCTCAGATCCTTATTGCTGGTCTTTTAAATGGGTAAATCTCATGACACCGTCAGGGTCAAAAATCATGCTAAAATCAGTGTATTATGTAATGAAAATGAAACCATTTTAGGACCATTAAATTAGAACTTTTTTTCATTGAGACATTATTTTCACAAGTTAAATTTCATGCAAAAATTACAATTCTGCGTTATTGTTTTTGTTTCTTTGATGGGAGTATAAAGCTTTTAAACTTTCAAATTCAAAAGGATCGGTACAAAACTTTTCTTGATGTTTTTGAAAGTCTCTTATAGTCAAGGCTTCATTTATTTGATCAAATACATACAAAACAACAATATTTAAAAATATAATTACAATTTTAAAAATGTTTTAAAATGTAATTTCTTTCATGGCAAAGCTGAATTTTCAGCATCATTACTCCGATACTAAAAGATAGATAGATAGATAGATAGATAGATAGATAGATGTCAGGAAAATAATGTCTCAATTAAAAAAAACCTTAATGGTCTTAAAAATAGGCTTACATTTCTTTAATTGCAATATAATATTGTATTTTTTCTGCACTATGAACACCTGTTACATCCTGTTTTCCACCTATGAACTAATGCAATGGTTACACTGATTATTTGCCTATGTGCTGTGTAAAGCCCTTCCCTGTAGGCTCACATTAAGCCATGTGATTTAGCCACCTGCACTACAGAGACTCAATCAGAGGCTGATTGTCATGAGAGCCACATCATGACTGTCTGGATTGACCTGTCCGCTCTGAGTAGACGAATCTGTTGGTGATGTGTCCAGGACTAAAGCTCATTAAAGGCCAGTAGCGTAGGGAACTTTGTGCAAGTGAGTAGTGATGGAGTGAGAGAGGGAAATCAGAGGCAGACGGTGGGTGGATGTCACTGTTTGAAGTGCATATAGAAAATTCAGTGACCTTTAAGAGGCTGGCTTCATTGTCCAGGTGGGTCAGACATCAAGCCAGCCAGACCTGCAGAACAGAGGAATATTAAAGAAACTAAGAAGCTGTTGGCCTCATCTTACGAGAAGACCTTAGGACAATAGGACATTTCCAGCTATAACCATATAGTCTGAAAATAATATATCAGGAAATGGCTTGGTTTTCTGACTACCGTCCTCTCACATCAGCCGATACAGCATAGATTTGTTGTGTCTGGCTGAATTTCTTTCCTGTAGAAATCTCCAAATCAGAGATCAATTCAAAATAGATATTTAATATAAATAATACTTTTTATTCAAGATCTCTGTATGTGTATGTGTATATATATATACACACTACCAGTCAAAAGTTTGGGATCAGAACGATTTTTTATGTTTTTTACAGGAGTTTCTTATGCTCATCAAGGCTGCATTTATTTGATCAGAAATACAGGAAAAATTTAATATTGTGAAACAGTCTTCAGTGTCACATGATCCTTCAGAAATCATTCTAATATGCTGATATATTATCAGTGCTGAAAACTGTTGTGCTGCTTAATATTATTTTTTGGAACCCATGATACTTTTTTTCAGGATTCTTTGATGAATAAAAAGTTAAAAAGAGCATTTATTTAAAATAGAAATCTTTTCTATTCATATTCATATTCATATTAGAATGATTTCTTAAGGATCATGTGACATTTTGTACTGGAGTAATGGCTGATGGAAATTCAGCTTTGCATCACAGAAATAAATTATATATTAAAGGATATTAAAATAGAAACCATTATTTTATATTGTAATAACATTTTGCAAGATTATTGTTTTTTTTCTGTATTTTTGATCAAATAAATGCAGCCTTGATGAGCATAAGAGACTTCTTTAAAAAACAATACAAGTCTTACTGATCCCAAACTTTTGACCAGTAGTGTGTATATATGTATGTGTGTGTGTGTGTATATATATATATATATATATATAAAACACATGACTATCTTTAGATATTTCAAATTGAAATTCTCTGAGTTGTTTTAGTTCTGTAATTTTATAATAATTACTGTTTTTGTAGTTTAAAATATACGTACAAATATAGTTAATATAGAATAATATAATTCATTCACTAGAATGTGTCAGAATTTTTTATTAATATTTGACACATTGTGTATCTGGTAGTGTTGACCAATATTGATTGATAGGCAAGTCAGAGATTACACCTAAATGTATGTAGATACATCTGAAAGTGTATTTCAGAGATACAGGGTGATGCAGCTATCCTAATATGAAGACAAAAAAAGGTGCTCATTAAATGAAGAATGTTTTTGAAAAAAAGTAGTTAGGCATAATCTTTATTATTATTCCTAAAAAAACTATGAAAGAATTTTGTTAAAATTTTAAAATAAATTTTAAAAAAAAAAAAAAAAAAAAAAGCCAAACAGTCAGACTTTGTAAAGAACTAATTGTTTTTTTTTCTCACTAACTGCTCTGTGCACTGTTTATATTACTGTTGGATTCTTTAACTACTAATATGACTGCATTGCTGTGGTGTGTGGGGTTAATATGCTTGGGGTGTAATGTAATCACGCTGATATAACCTCTCTCTCCATTCATTTTGGACTACTTCCTGCTGCGCTTGCTAATACAGCCACCATAGAAGCAAAGGAGGGTCAAGGTACGCTGGCAGTACTGTGTCATCTCCTGCCCCTATATGCTGTGCTTTCTTCCCCTTTGTGTCTTTTCGTGCCTTGCCGTTCACCTCAGTGTGTGTGTGTGTGTGTGTGTG